ACGTTAAGAATGGCTGTTGCATGTACAATTCATAAAATATTATATGATTCCTATTCTGGAGATAGTGAGCATAGTTCTGGTGAGATGGCAGTAACGGTTTCGACCCCCAAAAATTCATAGAATAGAGATTTCATATATGTAATTTTTATTAAGTTATATTAATAATAAAGTAAGAGTAGAATACCACTGCAAGTATACTATATAATATTTTTTTCTTGGTAAATTTCAGCGAACTTGGTTCGCCTAAAATCACATGATTTTTTACTTTTGAATAATGTCATACTAATACTACATTACGCTAGCATGCAATCCGAAATAGATAAGACCAATTTATTGAGAAGTTCTATTACCAGGTTCTCAGCCGAGAATGATAAAATTAAGGCTGAGAATGATAAAATTAGAGCTGAGAATACTGAGCTTAAGGCCAGAATTGCGAAATTGGAAGATATGCAAACACAGAATGAACTAATAAAAAATTTGCTATCAATATCACAAAAAATACTTACCTGACCTGTGACTAGTCTGGTGACCATCCTAACCAATCTCCTATCAGATGTAACGCAATTCATGATATAGGTGCGTAAATCTATAATGCTATATGCTATAGACTATTTTGCATGCAAACTTTTTTTGCGTAAAACTATACCTAATAAAATGTTTCATTCCGATTATAAACATATTATTGATAGACTACCTGAAAGTCTTGTCAAAAGAGCGTGTGAGAGACTTTTACACCACTCCAAAGATCCCGTCCTATTGGAAGTTATTTCTGAGAAGTCCGAACGAATTGAATCATATTTGAGGCATACATTAGAGGTTTATGAGAATTCGTTAAATAGGAAACGCAGAAATATGGCTCAGGAAAAGGTATTGCGTCCCCGAAGCTGGCCAGAATGTAGTGTATTTCCAGCATCACCAGCTATATATGTTACTGACATTGGAGTCCAAACCAATGATTACGAGGAAGAAAATAACTGCCAGGTCATGAACGAACTTAAAGTGTTCTGCCAGCATCTCCTTGATTATAATAAAAGAACTTTCGAAAAATTCATGCAAGACATAGAAAGGGAATATAGAGAGCGGATTAGTATAAATAAAAAATTGCGATGTGAAAATGAGGATCTGAAGATGCAGTTGCAGGAGGTGGAAAAAAAGCTGGCATCCATGAAGTCAGATTCTTCTCATTAGTTGGGGGTACTTTTTTCCAAAATTTGGTCCCAACCAAGACGTATCCTATGTGGGTGTTCGTGGGGTACTGTTAAATCAAAAATAATGAATTTATGTTCACATAATGCCTTATCAATAATCTTAATTACACTACGCCAGTCATTAGCATATTGACGCACGATTCTGCTAAGCTCGTCCGCAGTGCACGACCCATTAAATAGGCAGACATGTGTGAGATTTTTTCGTATTATCTTTGGGCAGTCAAAGTAACTCTGGGATACATATATCGAACTGATGTTGTAATGACGTTCTTCAATAAAATAAGGAACAATTTTCTCCTGCACTTTTTTCGGGTCAGCACACATATCTTCGAATATAGCCCCTATATCTCTATCTGGAGAAAATGAATCTACCTTAGGGATTTTATCAGGCTTCAAAGCCCGAAATGTAATATCTTCACGATATGGCTTTGGACTATTTGCTATTATCTGGAATGCTGATTTGAGATATATATATTTTGGCTCCTTGAGTTGGTGGCCGATGAGTAGCAAATCATCACACTTGATATAGCGTGTCCTTCCTTTCTTCCCATTAAGCATTCGATAAAGCTTAGTTCTGAGCATGAGATTGATAACCTCATTACTTTTTCCCGTATTAGTACGGCCAAAGATTCCAAGCGTGAAAGGCCATTGAGGTGTACTGGAATTGCCATTATATTTTTGAGCGTTTTTAATTTCATTAATATGATATATAAGCTTTTCAACTGGCTCAAGTTTCTTTATTTTCATGTCGAACTATCTTTTACTAATGATATACTAAAAAATGTATTATGAAAATTTGCGAGACCGCGCAGTCTCGGAAAAATGCCAAGAAAATAATACTCTCTGACCTAACTAGAAGAACTATTCAAGAACACTTTCTCGATTAGAGTATGCCTGATATAGGATAGGAGATCAGCGGTATATGGAATTTCGATAAGGCATATATTTTGCTTTTTGCATATATCCCGCTTCTTCTGATCACGAATCTTTTGTATTTCTAAAGTTTCATTCTCCCGATGATATAGGCTATTGTGATGATAGTGTTGAGGGCCATGGTATTCGAAAGCAAGACGCAATTCCTCATTATATCCATCCAAGTGTAGTCCATCCAAAAAATTTGGCCTACGTGGTGGGAATTTTTTGCCTAGCAGATCCTCAAAAATGTATCGGCATTGGCGCTCATCACTTCTATGGTGGCATAGCGAACACCATTCGAATTTTTTTATGATATATTTTAGTGGATATTCCCACTAATGCACACCATTCTTACAAGACCAAAGATAAATATCATGACCATTTATTCGCCTGGTTTTTCCAAGGCATTGACCACCACGCTTCTTGGCATATTCTTCAGCTTGAGCTATCTTGTTATTGATAGGAGAAACAGCCGGAGGCGCTAAAGCATATGCAATATGTACAGACAATATACTTTGAAGTGGACGACCAATCCTTTCTGGATCAGCTATTAACATGAGCTCTTCTCGTACAAATCCACGAGATGGCGCAAATTCTCCATCAAGATAATATAAAACTGGTTCATTCTTTACAACAATCACTTTTCGGATTTTATGAATAGAAGGCGAAAAAGTGAGATCTGTAGCCCTCCTCTGATTCTCCATTCCACCCTCCCATTCTACATTGGCAAGTAGATAGCGGACGGTATTTCCTTTCTTTAATTTCATTTCATCTTTTCCAACTGGACGCTTATATTTCGTAGATGGTCTAGATTCGACTCGCTCTAAAGCAATGGCTTTCACTGGTTCAAGTCCCCACTTTTTTGACCCCGGCTCTCGAATAAGGCGTGTGAGATAGTTATTCAGATAATCAATAGCTTCCGGTAAATACCTAACCCATGCTCTCATTAATCCAGGATCGGATGATATAGACTCAACAGCATATTGGATCTTATATAGAATTTTCGAGAGCGTCTGGTTGAAACGCTCTACAATTGCAGTTCCACGGTGGCTATATGGGCCAATCACCCGAATTGTAACATCGTGATCTTGCATTAGACGGGAAGTCTCTCCCATCCATTCTCTTTCATTATCACATTGTAAGAGCTTCGGCCATGTCAATGGATTGTTTCGATCACCATATACTTTCCTAAATGCCTTAGCAACTTCTGAGCTATTCTTCGATGTGAGTGGAACAGAAGCTTTATATCGGGAAGCGCAGTCTATAATGTTAAGTACTGCTTTATATTTTTTACCTCTATAGTAATCATGAGTGAGAAATAGTATATCACACTGGTGTACACAGTTAGGGCGTGTTATTCGCCCATAGCTGACTCTAGGGATGTATTTTGGAGAGGTCTTATTTGTTTGGTATGACTCTTGATTTTCTAAAAAATCTTTGCATTCACTTAGGCGGAATCAATACCCTTCTTTTTTACATGCATTTCTCAAAGATTTAGGGTTGGAATGATAGCCAGTCGGGCAATAATATATTTCACGCAATATGATATTTTTTCAATCCTCTGAGCCTCATTGGGATCTATCAAGATTTGTGGTTAGCTCATTCCTATTCTCTTTTATAATCACAAAAAAGAATGGCATTTCGGAGGCCTCATCCAAGGCAGAGAAGAACATGTGAAGAATATAAAGCTGAGCTGGAGGAGGAAAACTACCATCTTCATAGTGAATTGCAAACAGAGGTAGATCTTAACCGCCAGAATGAAAGTCGAATTAATCAGCTGGAGAGAGATTATTCCCAGTGTGAACAAGAAATCCAAAATCTTAATAGGGAGATAGAGCGCCTTGAAAATGCTTCAGAAGAGGAGATGGTAGAATTAAAACCTGAAATCTCCAGCCTAAAAAGTCAGCTATATCAAGCTAAGAAGGATGTACGAGATAAGGAAAAATATATCTCTGATCTAGAAAAGCGCTTGGAAGAATCTGAAGAGCAAGTTGATAGACTACGATGTCGAATCAGAGCCATCTCATCACAAAGAATACGCCTGAACGAGGGAATTCTCCAGACTTGTATAATCCTAATATTAACTTAAAAATGGCTACCATCACAGAGCTAGCAAATGCTATAGACAGATTTCTAGATAATACAGCAGATAGGATAATCATGACAGACCAAATAAAAAGAGCTACAAGACAGATTCGTCAAAAAGAGCAAAATTTACAACAGGATTTAATCTGGGAGCAACAGAGGCGATATGATGCAGAAGCTATACGTGACAATGAAATTATCTGAAGGCAAAATGCTGAGGGGGTGGAACAAATGGTTATTGCCGACCTTCATCAGTTGCGAACCAATGCTCGAAATCAAGTAAATAGAATGTTAGACAATATAACAGGAAAGCGAATCCGTATTGGTATATTGCTACAGGAAAAATTTGCCTTACAATTGCTGTATCAGCGAAATACCCACCACCTACAGCGAAGTAGAGGAGATATAGGTCTGTTAGAATATAATCGAGACAGGCTCTATGAGCGATATGAGAAATGGAAAAATAAGACCTATGCCAAGCGCCAAAATATTTTAATTTTGCAGGCACAAATATTTGCATTACAAAACAATCTTCCACATATTGGAATGGCAGGGTATGCTCCCAAAAGATTCTCAGGTAGAGCGGATGAAGATATAGATGAATTCATAAAAGATTACAGACTCTATCTTACGGCAGCCAACATCACTACTGCTAATGCAGGTGGTAAACAGAGAGCTTTAGAGCTATTCTAGTCCTGCTTGACAGATGAGGCATCACATTGGTCTGAAGATAAGCTTAAAGGTAAAAAATGGCAATTGAATCATGTACGATGTGGGAATGCTTTAGCAAATATGGCCGCCGTAGTGGCCCTAAATAATGCTAACATAACGGCCGCCATGATTAATACGCCTGATGGTACTCCACCACCAGGATTGCCGGCTGGAGCTACTAGTGCTACAGTTATCCCGACACATAATGTTCACGCAGATGAAGATTGGTCTTTTGCTGGTGAGTGTCCCGTCGATGCTGATACAGCAACCAATGCCCCAAATGGAGCTTTAAATAACAACAATCATATAGTCCTTCCTGATATCAATATTAGTCAGATCATCTATTGGTTTAAAAGGAATTATCCTACAGTTGTTCGAGAGCAACAGGAATTGATTTTTGGTATTTTGACTCAAGGTTCCGATTCAGTTAGAAATTACTATAGAAAGATAAATAAATATGCTAGCTGGGCTCGAATATTTGATCGTGAAAAAAGAATACAATTTATACGTGGCTTGACTCCTGAAAACAAGTTGGAAATGAAACGACTGGGTTTAAACAGACCTTTAAATGATGAATTGATTGAGACACTCGAAGAGATTGAAACAGAAAGGAATAATTTGCTTCTGGATGAGGATATTTATAACCAGCCTACTACCAAGACAAAACCAAAAACATCTTCTCATCAGGGTATTACTACAGAAGATGTTGATAGGATTGTAAATAGTAGGATTCAGGCGTTACAGCAACCACCAGCAGTTCAATCACCAGCATCTTCGTCTGGTCAGGAAAATGTTACTAAGGCTGACTTACAAGCCATGTTTAAATCCTTTCAAGAGACTATATCCCGGGGGGATAAAACTCTGAATAATAGTAAAAAATCAGTCGGAAAGAAAGCAGAAGATCTTGCTATTAGACGTTTTTTGAGTGATCTACTAAGAGAGAGAGGCAATGAAGCTCCTGGTATAGAATATGACCCTATGGATGATATTACTGACAGTATGGCCGGCATGACACTAAATAGTGCCACGATAAATGCTATCAAATCTGCTGTTAGAAGTGCTGTTAAGAAAAAATGTACCAAGTGTGGCAGATTTGGACACACTTCTCGTAAGTGCTCTGTAAAGAAGAAAAAGAAAAGCAAGAAGTTGAAGAAAGGTAAGGTCAATCTCGCTATAGAACCAGATTCAGATTCGGATTCTTCTTCAGAGAATACTCCATCTAACGATAGTTCCGATTCTGATACAAGTTCTTCTGATTCTTCCGATTCTGATGGCGTTCTTGATGTTCATATATCTAAGTCAAAAAAAAAGTGAAGAAGGAGAGTGAATCTGAGAAATTATCCTCTAAAGAGGTGTCTAGTGCCAAGCTAAGAGAAATACCACTAGAGGAGACTATTCGTAAAGTCCTTCATAGTGAGCTTAAACTAATTTTCCCCCACATTTTTTCCAAGATTCTGGTCTCATTACGTCCAAACAGATAGTGGCTGTTCACTATAGTGAACCAAAGATAGTATCTCAAAATGATGTATCATCATCTTCAAAAGATTTGGATGAGTCCAGTCTGGAAGAGGAGTCTTTAGATGATCCTATGGAGATCGACTTCGTCAAGAAGAAGGAGCCAAAGACAAGTGTTGCAACTGTGAAGTGCAAAATAAGGCGTTTAAAGATTCCGGCTATGACTCTCGACTCTGGAGCTGAACCCCCTATCATAACGAAGAATATTGTTGAACGCGTGGGAGATAAAATCGATAAATCTGAGATACATGATCTTGAAGGCATCTCCACTGTTCCTGTTGAATCTGTTAGGATCGTACGCAATCTACCAATTACTCTAGCCCCTGGACTTACCATTCATGAAGATTTTGTTGTCGTGAGATATAAAAAGCCGACGCTAATATTTTCTAACCAACTTTTAAAGAAATATAGGTGTGCAGTGGATTGGGGTACTAACGAGCTAAAGATCCCCCTTAATAGAAAGGATTATATCATCCCAGTGACCATGCATAAGATCAAGAACAAACTCGAGGTGAATTGTGCAACCACTACTTCCGAATGTGATGATCTGTCAACTCCGGACAAGATTTCTCAGGACCCGCAAGACTTAAGCGAGGATGAGACATTAAAAAAAAAGTGAGTTATGAAGAGCTCGAAAAAATGTTGTATGATACTCTCATTTCCGAAGCTAAATTAATTGAGATTAATAAAAACCTCCGATCCTTTTTTCCATATTAACTATAAATTCTGGCTTAGTGGGGTACTTTTGATGAATTTAATGAGTTGAAAGATGAGTTACGAGCTAGGCACTTTTCTGATTCGTGTATAGCTTCTTCCGCTTCGATATTATTTTTTTCAATTGAAGCAATTAGATCATACGAAACATCTAGTAAGGAATTTTGGTAAGAACCTTCGGTTGAAATCTCAGGTAAGTTAGAACTTTGGACGGGTTTGGGTTTCGATGACTTCTTTTTCTTTTTTTGCTTTTCATGTACACGATCCAGGGGAGACCCATCCGTCTTAATGAACTCAAAAAATAAAGGGGCGGTTTCTAAAGAAACCCTAGATATTTCCCTTGAAATTGACTCGTCTAACGACTTTAAAGATCCTGAAATTGGTGGATGGTTATTTTCTTTATCTTGGGGACTATTCTCTGAAGAAGGGACTGATGAGATGGATTGTACCTTCCTAAGCTCTTCGAAAAAGTGGTTTCCATTTTGCTGTGAACGCTCACAATCATTCCATATATCATGAACACGATTTTTATTAATATGATACTCCTTTACTATCATATATACTAGAACCTTATTTTTGAGATGTCTAATTTCTTCGATCTGCTCAGAAGTCAAGACTGTTGCACTTTGTCGATAATGAGTTTTCAAAATTGAGGTAGACATACTCCTCCGATATTTTTTTAGACAATGTATTTAGATGTATAAAAAATATTAGGCATTAATACTTATCTTTTTAGATGGATAATAAATATTAGAATTCAGCATTTATGGATTTAGAATGAGAGAGAACGCTAAAATATATAATTTATTGTTTTAGATAAATAAAATATATTCTAATTCACTATCTGTAATTAATAATAAAAAATGATCGATATCCTCCCTATTCATTCTATATTTATCATAATTGTTCTCTAACAAAAAATATGAAAAGTTTTTTTATAGTTTATGGCCAATGTAAATAAATGGAAACGTATGATCTTGAAAAGGAGATATACCGCATCTTGCAAGACTCATCCAAAATTCGAGGCTATAATGCTAGGTTGCGAAGCGAATATATAAATCTTAATGATGAGAATAGGCGGTTGAAGGTTGAAAACTCCAAGCTCGTCTTCCAGAATGCTTGTACAGAAATATCTCTTGCCAAAGCCGAAGCCGATAACTTTGCAAAATCAGAGGAGGTAAAATCGCTTCAGTCTGTGATTAATCTATTGGCTCCAGAATACTCTAATCGGTCAGATTCACATGTAAAAAGTGGGCCGATAAGCGCTTCGCATGGCGAAAAACATGGTGGGCTGGAAGACTCGGTCTCTTTGAGACCCTCTGGCGCTTCTTCACTTATAGGCACCTCAGATACTGCTTTACAGGAGAAGAGTAACGTGGATTCGAAAACTGACCTTGATAAATTATTGCTATATATACTTCCCTTTTCAATAATACTTTTTCTTCTGATCGCAATTATGTGGTTTATTATGTTGAAAAAGTTACGGAATACACAGGAAATGGCTGAGCAATATATTCAGACTAGAGATTGGCATCTCCAAAGGCTGGCTGTACGATCAGAAGCTGGAAGGAAAAAAAATGACTGATACATATGAAAATATATAAATAGACCGTTAGCTTTGCTAACCAATACCTAATCAACTACCGTATAAGTACTGGCGCTAGTGGGACTTCTTTGAATCTTTTTTTGAATGTGGGCTAATACTTTTTTTGATAAATCTCTTTCAGCTTGGCGCTCGGACAGGTTTATTAAGACTTTTTCAGCGTCAGTCACCGTACATTTTAATAACCATCCAATATGAATCTGGTCACCTCCCTTACCATTATGCCCATAGTGTTGTAAAAATCAATAGTCTTCCATGACAATATCCGTCATTTTCTCCTGATCAGCTATTATTTTACGAAATTCCTGTCTATCCTTTTCTGTAATTGGGAGACGGATTTCACTTGATTTTATGCCTATGTACTGGGAAACTTTTTCCTGTAGTTCAGCTATTATATCAATAAAGCTTAAGTTTAAAATATGTAGATTTTTTCGGCTGATCGTAAACTTTGATATGCAAAATACTAATGATTATCTTCGGGCATATCTGAGGCAGTGTGTAAAATTCATGTGCACAATGTGCACATGTGCACATTAAATTTTTATGTGCACATATTACACAACATAAAATGTGCACAAATAATTACTAAAAATAGATAAATTATATATAAAAATGGATAAATTATTTATAAAAATGGAAATACTATGTAATACATACATTTATTTTCTATTTTTAGTACAACTTGTGCACATGACTTTTGGTCTAAATTTTATACACTGATCTGAGAGGTCCACCCTGTAACCAGGTCGGGATATATGATCGGAGGTCAGAGAGATGTTCGTCTTGCGAACTCAGATCGATTATAGGAATTGAAGTTAACTGGTATTATTGTACGAAAAAATATATGCCACTATAAATAATGTTGCAAGTATTCTAGCAGAGGTGTGGCAATTTCAGCTAAGAATACTTGACAATATAGCCTATCTAAGTGCTTTCGGTTACATCCTCAAGATGGAAATACCATAAATTACTAATTTCATCTAGCACCTTAATTTCTGATATATGAGGTAAGGCAGGTAGGTCAGCAATTATCTCATTTTTCCGCATGGATGAAACTGGGCCGATTTCTTCCGGAATTGATACATGCTCTTTATAACGCATATAGTAGACCAATTTGTGAAAGAATAGATTATACTCTTCAATACATTTTGCAAGCTCGCTAGGATATCGAGCAAAATCAGAGCATATTTTTTCCTTCATTTCGCCATCCACCGAGAGGTTTTTATCTTTTGTAAGTTTCCTAGCGCATTTCATGAATCTCTCCCATAATATCTCAATAGGATTACTTCCCATAAAAATCTCATAGCTAAGCCATTCGCCATGAAATATTTCGTATAAGTACCCTATCTTATGATATAACATTTCTTATGCCTTTTTGACCGCAGTTCTGTAAGCACGCTTGTAAGCAATCCCATGAGATTCCATCATCTTAGAAGTAACACCATTGACTATGATATTTTCTTTTACGAATCCCTCAAGCCATGACTTGGTCTTGTTTTGAGCGTAGTCATCAATTTGCTTATATTTCTCATCTGAGTCTTTGATTCGCATGATTCGACTTGAAGGTTGTGGCTCATACTTCTTGTGATACATGATAAATCAGGCACAGAGGCCAATAATAGTTTTTTCGAAATAATGGTATAAATCTAGTTCCTTTCCCAATTCCTTAGCTATATCGGCGAATTCCATTTTTTCGCCTTTAGTTGGTTTTAACTTTCTGCCATGCAAATCGAAAGTGGTTTCGGGGTGGACCACTATATAACTAAAGCGTCCACCTGGTACTGGAATCCTACTATCATATTTCCCTTGCATTCGTCCCATAAATCGCTGAACGGCTTTGTTGTCTTTATCGGGTTTCCATGCATCAGTCTCTATGAACTGCTCGAAACTCCATTGGTTAGGATTGATTATAGCATCCCTGAGAACATCTTCAACAATTTTATGGAGAGAGCGCTCGTTGTTGATATCCCTGACTTCACTCATAATCCGCTCACCTATGGTTTTAAAAAGCTGGGATTTGCCCTGTTTCACAGTATCAATTCCTCTTATGAAAGGATCCTTCAGATTGAAGTTTACTGCATCTTCATGCTTGATGCCGAAATATTTTTTCTTCCCAGTGAAGACCACTGGAAATAGCACTTCTTCATAAGCCATCTTAAGATAGTCCGATCTGGTTTTTAGCTTAAGAAAGCCGTTTACTTCGTTGCGCAATTTTTCCATTGCGCCTATAGTGATCTTGACCATCTCAGTCCAGTACTCTAGTTTTGAGATTGCGCTTTTCCCGCCATTGTAGACCAAATCGCATTTCTCATAATAGAAATCTGGGCAAGTGAGATATAGGGAATCGGTATCACCATATTTTATCCCAAAATCTTTCTTTTTCACGAATTCTGCAATGAGTTTGATATTTTCTTGCCCAGCCAAAGTAACATCTCTGGCGAGTTCAAGTATGTAAAATGGGGAGTCACTTTGGTCAGTTACACCATAGAACGAATTCATATACAATTTAATGGCTTTTTGCTTCGAATTTAGAGAATTATAATCGAAGCAGGTAGAATCATATTTTTTTCTAAAATTATCATATGACGAACCAATGAAAGAATTCAGGATGCCAGCTATTTCAGCACACTTCTTAGGTTCGCTTTGCGAACAAACATCTTCGACTGCATTTGCTATTGAGATAGATCCGCCAGCATCCATTCTACTTTTAACTAATCCCATATATTCCTTTTTCTTTCTAAGAGGTTTTAGCCGGGCCTTTAGTTCATTCCGTATATTGAGCAGATTTTCCAATATTTTTGGAAATAAACCCTTCTGATCGGATTTATTCCCATGCCGTATGGTCCAGGCTTGCACAGGTTTACCGCCATACTTGAACTCGATACTGTGAAGCACTTTATTCTCTCTCTTTAGTTTATCTGCTTCCGAAAGTGTTGAGACCATCTTCTCGAGTGAGAGGTTGTAGGTCATAATTATGCTAGGGTATAAGGAAGCGAAGTCTAAACCTGTGATGGGACATTTATTTTCAAGACCTTTCTCCGGCGGGAACACATACGCTCCTGGAAACTTTCCAGATGCTTTCTGATTGGAAATTTTTGTGGTGTATAGAATATCCTGCGCCCAAGCTTCAGCGCCTAAGAGATTGGATACTTTCGTTCCTATAGCATAATAATGTGAGTCGAATAATGATATATGAGCGATTGAGGCTACCTCTCTGTAATCATTTATAGCATTAGATTTGACCATGAGCTCCTGACAACGTAAAGCATCTATAATACAATAATTTACAATTTCATGCATATGTTTTTTGGAAGAGTCGGAAGCCCTGTCTTTCGCTTCTGAATAATACTTTCATAATTTGCTCATGGGCATATCGGCTTTACCATCGAGACCATATTTTTCTAAGAAATATCTGAGTGACCATTTCTTAGAGCGGGGTGGAGTTGTAAGAAACTCGTACAAACATCGATCGGTACACACCCTAGAAGTTTAAGAAAGGAGGATTCAAAAGTCAAAGAGGGATTGATTTTGATATTGATGGATTCTCGTCCTAACGTTTTTTTGGGACCTCTGTCCTCTTTCTTTACGTACTGGTCCCTTCAGAAGAAACCATTAGTTAGTGGCTTCCCTTTCCCGCCAAAATAATTCCAAGTGAGGATAGATTCAGCATCAGCTTTTTTATGCGG